AAAGTGGCTTACTTGAAAGACAAATTAGGGAAGGCAGTGGCTGAGGACATGGCTAAATGAGCCATCAAGCCTGTCAATAACTTTAAATGCTTTTGACACAGCCTGCTCATAGACATTAACTGCCCCAGACAATAACATGACTTACAGGTGAGGGAATGACAGAGATATTGAATGAGTACTGCATATACACACACACACACACACAACAAAGAGATCGTTGCAGCATCCTCAATTCCCATGATCCACCCGAACATCAGAGTGGAAATCAAATGCATCTGGGAGCTGTGATCAATCTCTGCAGGAACAGAAAGCAGAGCCTCCAGAAATCAGCAGATGCTCGGAAGCAACAGAGTCGTGTATCCGCTGCCTTCCCAAAAAAGAAACTCTGAGCCAAAGAGCTAGGCGAATGTTGTGAAACGAAAGCGCGAGTGATCTAAAGGGCATAAGCAATGTTCACTACAGGGGAAAACAACTAAATTGTCAGACCTTTGTGTTGATCGTCTGTGTCCTCGCAAACAACTGGATGTTCACACTCTCTACTTCCACTTATAATAAATACATACACCTTCAGTTTTTGATTCAGTTGCCTAGACAACACATGGGGCTTTCCTTGTTGCCAAGGAGACAGTTGTTAGGCTGGAAATATTTATGATGAAAGGGATTGAGAGTTCAGTACTTTAAGATTTCTTTAGACTTAGAAAGCACCACTCTATTGGTGTTGTCATTAAAAAAGAAAAGGTAAAATAACTCTACTTGCCTCACCTGATATCTGTATATTTGCGAATATGCTTGTAATTAAATTAAAAATGTAAAACAAGGCAGTATGTAAGAATACATATTGGATTTAAAAAAATATTTCCTTTAAATATTTATTTTGGAAAGGTCGTTATTGCATTCTGGTATGTTTAGACCTAGTTGCAGACCTGTTATTTGCTGTCAGGTAAACCTGAAGTACATATTCTTATCAGTCTTCATGGAGAACAGATGTTCCTGTTCAAATCTTGAAAGATTTTGTGCAGAGAATGGATTTCTTAATTTAAGACTTTCACCTCCATGTTTGCGATGCGTGTTATTAATAAAATCAAATCTCGTATTTTCATCAAAAAGCATATGGTGACTCGTGGCTGTATTTTGCCGAATGTGGTTTGCTAATGCTGACTGTCTGTTGAAATGTGTACTGGTCTTAATTTATTTTTCTCTGTTACTATGATTTAAGACTTCATAGACACCGAGTTATGGTTTGTGGTGCTGAGCAAATGTCCTGATATGTATCAGAATCTAATAAACGTCTTTTTAATAATGAGCGGTCTACTATCAATTAACAATAAATATTTAGGTGTATCTGACGTTGGCTGAAATATGCAGTCTTATTTTCATTTTAAATCACTCAAAACAATATCAAAAATGTGTGCACATCCAAAACAAAGTTGGGTACAGGTGTATGTATAAGTTCACAGAAGGGTAAACACAAGGGTAGCTCACCGTTCTTTCACCTTGTTCACCTTTCTTTGTGATATTAAAATGTTTTACACAATGACAAAAAAAGTTTCTTTTTTAAAGAACTGTTCACTTTAAGGTTCTTTGGGGAATCATGCATCATAGCATTAATGCCACTGCCATTAGCTATAAGAAAAATACAGCTCTGGTTCAAAATAATTAGCTTGTTATTGATTTGTTTACTTATAAATGTGTTTGTTGTTTTGCATTATATGACATTAATGAGCTCAGCCCCTGTCATGTATAGTTATAGGTTATTGGTTTTTTGTAAGGGCTTTCACTGCATGTTTGTATAGCCAGGCATTGACATCAGCGCAAGAGGAAACAAGGTTTTGTTTTAGTCCTTCTGTCTTCCTTACCTTGAAGGGCAGGTCGACCCCAGCTCGGGTTAGCTCAGTCAGACTGAGTTATGCAGGGGCCCCTCTGAAGAGCCTTGAAGAATGAAGGAGAGCTGACCTCTCTGCAGGCTACAGGGAAGGTGACGAGTATTCTTCCTTATTTGATCCACACATCTCTCATTCTGTTTATTTGACCAGTTATCTATTATGATAGACGGCCCTCTCCTGTCTCTTTTTATTGGGTCATCTGAATTTAGCACACATTTCAAATGTTTTATTGAGTCTGGTGTCAAAAAACTTGACCGGCCTGCATAAAAACTGTTATACTGTTGTAGCAGCAAAAAGCAGCACGAACTCCCTATTAATGCACATGGTTTTTACAGTAAAGCACATATGAACATACTTTTCATGTAGTGTCTGGGCATTTTTGAGTAAACTGATCCATAATTTTACCAGGAAAACCTATTCTCTGAATTTAATCGAATTAGACAGTCATCTTTTTATGTGTCTGTCTTTTTTCTAATTCGCTTTCAATATATATAAATGTATTGAGAGAAGTGAATAGTACTTTTATCACTCTGTATGGCTGTTCCAGTCATCCAGTTCCCTAAAATTCCAGAGAAAGATCCGGATGTTTGAAACAGAAAGTGAGAGGCAGAAAGAGAAGAAAAACTCAGGAAAGTCCCTTAGTCTTGCCAGTGCTGGAACCTGCTGAATATTGGATTCCCTTTCTAAAGCATCCATGAGTTCTCCCCCACAGTTGCCGTGGAAACATAGCCCTGTACGCTGTAGCTAAATTTACTGCAGTATCCCTCACTCTCACTTTCATGAAGCGCAGTTACATTGATTTTTAAAGATGTTGTTTTTATCTCATTGATTTGAAACAACATTGTCATTGAAAGAGTATTTCTACTTCTTTGTCATTTTAAGATACTTCAAAACTGTTTTATAAATTGCATTATGATTTCAACTCATTATATAGCACAATATATTTTAGTTACAGTATCTCACTTTAACAACCTGTCACAACCAAACACACATCTCTGCATGGGACAAACATTTTTCAAATGCATGATGCTAAAACCGATTAAGTGCTCCCTGGGGAGTGACTATGTGTTGTATAGAGAGAGAGGGAAGTGGAGAACAAGATTTTATTGTTTGTCTGCAGTCTTACTAGTTTGTATGGCTGTCATGTAACCGCTTCTTGCTGAAAAAAATAACACCCAACGCTGTTTTGCTGGTCTTAAAGTTGGCAATGAAATGGAAATTGCATTATTTTCTTTTGTATTTTCTTCCTTACTGTGAACTGAAGTGAAATGTCTTCTCGAACAAGAAAACATGTAGAGAGGGATGTGATTGTGTCCATTAAGAATTGACTGGATCGTTGTCATTTGTTAACTGCTGTAAATGTAAAAAAAACAAAAATTAGTGATGTGCATGGATAAATAATTTTTTTTTTTTTTTTTTTACTATTTACTGCACTAATATTTAAGACACCATGAAATAAAACTGACATTTCTTGTATGGAATATTGCAGTGTTTATTACCATTTATCCATGCACATTATTAAATATTTAATAATGATCATTAACATCTGTGATGATGTGTGACTCAAGGAATGGACAACACCCCCTCCAGCAACCTGTCACTCACATGAGATTGCAAGAATAGCAAACAACAATAATCCAATCGATTCCCGATGGAAACAATTAAAGGGATAGTTCACCCAAAAATGAAAATTCTGTAATTATTTGCTCACCCTCATGTCGTTCCAAACCCGTAAGACCTTAGTTTATCTTCGGAACACAAATTAAGATATTTTTGACTACATTGTAGAGCTTTCTGACCGACCCTCCCATAGACAGCAAGGTTGTTTGCGTTCAGGTCAAAGCACGCATATGCGTCGTGTTTAGTCTCCAAAATGGTGCCAGGTGACGTGGAGGTTTTCGTTATCTTTGCACACAAAAAGTATTCTCATAGCTTCGTAAAATTGCGGTTGAACCACTAATGTCACATAGACCATTTTAACGATGTCCTTACTACATTTCTTTGCCTTGATCGTGGTAGGACCCTTGCTGTCTATGGGAGGGTAAGAGAGCTCTCGGATTTCAGCAAAAATATCCTTATTTGTGTTCCGAAGATGAACAAAGGTCTTACAGGTTTGTAACGACATGAGGGTGACAGTATTTTCACTTTTGGGTGAACTATCCCTTTAAATTCCACCCTACATTTTTTCTTGTTTGGGAATCCGTTTCACTTGGATATACACCACAATAATCGCAACCTCCATTTCATGCCGATGTGGTGACAAATCAGTTCCTCCCTCAAAAAAGTCTCCATTAGGACCCCAACCAATCCTACTGGCTCAAATTGCTTTTAATGGGAACTCTTTTTAATGCCTGTTTACAATTCCTACAAAATCATGATATGATAAATTTAGTTTGAACTATGTTATAATGAACATTGATGTCTGTTTTAGTTAGCTTATCTAGCATAGCATATACCAGATTGTCCTGATAGCTTAGTTTACGAATTTGCACTTAGCTTACATGTATTTATAACAATCTTTAATGTAATCAAGTATTAAATGTATTTTAGTTATTAAATTAACATAGTAATGATATTCAATTATTGACATATTATTACTAACAGTTTATCATCAAATTAGTTTTATTAAGCACTATATAATAAGCCATTATAATTTTAATTTTAATTATTTGTATGTACTCGATATTAACTGATATCTGATGGAGAGCCAATTTCGGGAGGACACAAACTATCCCAAAACACCAACTTTAACAGGTCTCCCAATCGGTTTTGATGGTTTTAGAGGGGTTTTTGACACTAACACCAGCTTAGCCAGCCTGGGAGACCATCTTAAACCAGCTAAAACCAACAAGCTTAGGCTGGTTTAAACGTTTTTTTTTCTTCAGCATGGTTATCAGATTAGATTTAATTTTTTCAGTGCACAGCATCTCTATCTTTTTGCCTGCTGTGTTTTGTATTACTAACCCCCAGCCTCCAAGAGATACAGAAATCTGCTGACATCATTGTCCAAGACCCACTTGCAGGAGGGAAGGAGAGAGGGAGCAAGAGAGAGAGGGGGGGGGGGCGAGGTTATGAGGCAACACAGCAGTGAGGAAGGGAGGGGTGATGAGAGCGACAGAGAGTCCGATTGGGGCGGGCTCTCTCGTAATCAGAGAGAATACTGCAGCTCACGCTCAGATTTCCCATGCTGTTACCGGCTTGGCTCTGCAGCCCCTCTCTCTCTCTCTTTCTCACATGCACGCTGACATAAATGCACACGCAGTGAACACGGATCTGTATCTCTGCACTGAGGAGACAACGTCCTTTACTCGTTTTCTCTGTCCTCAGTTTACTGGCTCCTGTTTTTAGGCAGTGCGTCAGAGGCTGTGCCACACAGATATGCCCGGTGAGAATGCACATCGGAGTGGCCCCACGCAGGGCCTTCTGGACTCTGGAGACCCACAATCAGAGCTGCCAGGACCAGGTAAGCAAACACACACCACACACCATGCTATGTGAGAGGCATAAGTGGAAGTACACAAAGGATGCTTAGCTCAAAGCATGTGTCTAATATAATTATCTGCTAGGACAGTAAGCCAGAAATCGGGAACACATCCAGCCGCACCCAGAAACATCATCCAGCATAGTCTTAAAAGAGTATTGTGTGCGTTAAGTGGTTGTAGTACACACACACACACACACACACACATACACACACTCCTCCTTCCTGCCTGCAATTACAAGAGCATGACACAGCATCACTTTCAGGACCCCAAGTTACAGCATCAGTTGGAATCAAGGCTGTTTAGGACAAGTGCATAGGTGTCCATAACATGCCTGCATGAAATGACATTGATCTGATTTAAGATGTTACTTTAGAATAAGATATAGATACCCATATGTTATGTACGAAAAATAATAAATAACATTGTCACAAATGACAGAGTATCTATTTATATTTGAACTACATTAAACAGAGCTTGATTAACACAAACCGTTTTTGTCTTGTGCTAATGGCAGGTGGTTAAATTCTGGGCACATGGTTTGTAATGGAGTTGATTGTCTTGATGCAGTGAATGCTTATTAAACTGTCTGCTGGGACGTTTGGGACTCTTAGGCTTATCACCTTTAAATTTTATTAATTAGAAAAAATGCACAATCTGCAAAAAGGCATGGAATTTTCCATTAAGCATACAGGCGCGCGTGTGTATGTGTGTGTTTGAACGAGCGGAAAGATTGCCCTAAAAAAGAGAACCCTCATGTGACCGTTTTTCGGAACTATCTTTAGATGACTGAACTAATAAGAAGAAAGGAGACCTGGGACATAATGCTCGTAAAATTTGTAGTCGTCTCAGTCAACTCTGCCTCTAAATCTGATATGTGTTGAATTGGGCGTCACAAAACACGATGACATGATGGGACAATAATGTTTAGTGGTGATAAGGGTGTGGTATTGAATAGCATTGTGGAATATGATGACATTTTTTGCATGCCCACCTGGCGATGATGCAGTTTTGAGTATAATTTCTATTGTCAGCATTAAAATATACTTGATATCTCAGAAAAGAATAAGTGCATCAGCTACAATACAATCCACACCCAATTGTTACAAAAACAAGGGCTTTCCATTTCCAAATGATCTCTTTATTCCCATTTCATTGTTATTGAACTGCTATTGAATATTTAAAGGCACTGTGAAAGTACCAGAGATGTTCTTTAATTGAATAATGTGTTGGCACAGTATGAGAGCTAGATAAGCTGAGTGGATGTTGATCTGGTTTGCATGGCCTGCTTCTATTCAATCTAGGGGTCAACCGATTATCGGCCTGGCAGATTATCGACGCCGATATTAAGCATTTTTATGATTATCGGTATCGGTCATTTTCAAAAACCGATTTGCCGATAAAATAATTAAATTTTGAAACACGCTATCTGGCTCTGATGCAGCCTGTCGGAACTCACCACTCTGTGGACTAGAGCAATCTCTGCCCACCGCCCATCTGATCTGTTGGGAGTCACGAGTCCGACCAATCACGGTGGAAGGCTAAAGGCACTGAAAGTTTTGCACTCTCACACCGAAAGCGCTTGCTAACTGGAGCTGCTTCAGTGATCACGCATCAGTTCGGTTGTCTCTCTAAGGCAGCAGCAGATGTTGCTGAAGTAGCAATAAATCACAATCCACTACACTGAAGTTGCAAAACACCTCAATATTATCTATTTATGGTTTCCACGATAGGGAAAACGCGGACGGAATCGTGGAATCCAGTCATATAAATGGAATGTAGGCCTACTGTATAACGCGGAATGTCACAAAATTTGTCAAAGTTTGGATGAATTAATCAAAAGTAGGTCAGCACTTAAATCGACTCGCGCTATGGACTAGTATCTGTAAATATGAATCCTGCATGTTCTGCGTGTCTCTGTATATGTGAATGGCACAGACGCGCGGTTTTGTATACTACACACATACTGAAGTGCGTGACGCTCGCTGTGTTTTCAGCATCTGCCGTCTCACAGAATGAGGACATAAATAAATTAACGACATCCCCAGAACTGCTCTGAGAGTTACTTCATGAGCATTTGACCGTTTCATTTGAGTAAAACTATCGTCATATCATATACATAGGCTACAGAAACTTAAAGGGGTCATAGGATGCTACATGCACTTTTACAAGTAGTTTGAACTGAAATGTGTGTTGGCAGTGTGTGTACACAACCACCCTATAATGATAAAAATCCACCCAGTTTTTTTTTTTTATCTGGTTGAATGTTTTCCCCTTTCTCAAATCGAGCCGATCTCTAATGCCTGTCTGTGTGACATCACACATACAGACAGGCCCGTCCCACGATAGTTTGATTGACGATGGCGTTTCAGCACAGACTGGACTGGTGTCTTACCTTAGACCCGCCCTGAGTGAGCTGTCATCAGTCCGCCATTGTTTCACCGCCGGAGCAGATGTAGACAAGAATGACTCCTAAGCGATTGAGGTGTTCTGTTGTTGGATGTAATAATGAACATAGCAGTCGTCATTTACTCCCGGCGACATCTGAGCCGCTGAACTCGCAGTGGATTACATTGTTTCTGAAGAGAATGCGCCCCTGATCTACATAAATGCATCTATGTTGACGCAAATCATTCATGATCCAGCCTCATCTACAGAAGTGAGTATAATGTTTTTTAATGAATCTTTGCAAATCGCCTTTCCTAATAATATGCTAATTAGCAAGATTCACAATGTTTCACCGCTAAAGTAAACAGTCTCTCTGAAAGCAGCTCCGAGGAGAGGGGCGGGGTCAGCATAGCTCATTAACATTTAAAGGAAAATGCTACTAAAACGGCTTGATATGAAGCTGTTTTTGACAGGGTAAAAAAAGGTGCTTTTTACACTACCATTGAGAAATTTTAACCAAACTATGTTACAGACTTTTCATTAAGACCCTAAAGAATCTATCAACTTGTGGGAAATGGGCATCCTATGACCCCTTTAAAAAGTCCTCATGGCAACCTGTCAAAATAAAAGTTTGGTTTAGCTACTACTAGCCTACAACCAGAGGTGTACCTACATGAAGTGGGGGCCCCAGGCAAAATGAATCAGTGAGGCCCTTCTAAAATACTTTCTTTGTTAATGTATCTTTGTTACCTAGTGATATAATTATACAACATATGAAATGTGGACAAAACACATCTAACAGTATATAATGCAAAAACAGGAGGCGCGCTCTCCCTCACTTGGATGTGTACGCTCAAACCGTGTATTTGCAGTCTGTGTGTTTCTCTTCGCGAGACACGAATAATATATTTTGTGTAGCCTAATGAATTATGAATGAACAATATCAACGGAGAATTTTTTTTAATAATTTTTAAGTATAGGCTTTAAAAAATAGGAATGTTAAAATATTTAAGGCACAGTTGTTGCATGACAACCTAGCCTGTTATCATTTGCTCATGGAAACAGTGATGAATAAAATGTTTTATATTTGGTTTGGAGTGGAAAAGAGTGTGGGCAGAAACATAAATTGGTGCCTATGCTTACCATTGTCCTGTTTCCTCTTTTCCTCATCTTTTTTCTCTTCAGGCTGCCTGACAGATTTGTCCTCTTCTTTATGTTTTAACGTGCGTGTTTGTGTGTGTGCGCAAACTTTTTTCAGTTCATTCCTAAATTGTGGGTCTTCTTAAAGGGATCATAGGATGCCCATTTTCCACAAGTTGATATGATTCTTTAGGGTCTTAATGAAAAGTCTGTAACATATTTTGGTTAAAATTTCTCAATGGTAGTGTAAAAAACACCTTTTTTTTTACCCTGTCAAAAACAGCTCTTTTCAGATCAAGCTGTTTTTGTAGCATTTTCCTTTAAATGTTAATGAGCTCTGCTGACCCCGCCCCTCTCTTCCGAGCTGCTCTCAGAGAGACCTTTACTTTAGCAGCATTCATCGTGAAACTTGCTAATTAGCACATTATTAGGAAAGGCAATTTGCAAAGATTCATTACATAACCTTATGCTCACTTCTTCAGTAGATGAGGCTGGATCATGAATGATTCGCGCGAACATCGACGAATTTAGGCAGATCGGGGAGCATTCCCTTCAAAAACAAACGTAAACCACTGCGAGTTCAGTTGCTCAGATGTCGGGATTAAATGACGACTGCTATGTTCATTATTACATCCAACAACAGAACACCTCAATCGCTTAGGAGCCATTCTTGTCTACATCTGCTCCAGCGGTGAAACAATTGCGGACTGATGACAGCTCACTCAGGGCGGGTCTAAGGTAAGACACCAGTCCAGTCTGTGCTGAAACGCCATCGTCAATCAAACTATCGTGGGACGGGCCTGTCTGTATGTGTGATGTCACACAGACAGGCATTAGAGATCGGCTCGATTTGAGAAAGGGGAAAACATTCAACCAGATAAAAAAAAAAAACTGGGTGGATTTTTATCATTATAGGGTGGTTGTGTACACACACTGCCAACACACATTTCAGTTCAAACAACTTGTAAAAGTGCATGTAGCATCCTATGACCTCTTTAACAACTTCTACAATGGCGCTATGAAGACAATTAAATTATTTACACTTATTATATACATTGTGCTTTTTTAAGTTAATCAATTGATGTGCATTAGATGATGAATTGAACAGTCACCTCTTGTAGTTTATGATTTAGTCATCAGAAAAGAATCAATGAAGAATTATGAGAAGTTATGCTATTACATATACATTTCTAACATGTAAATTATTTAAGCCAAATACTTACATTTCTCCAAGCTGTTTAGCTGTAGTACAGTATTCATAGGCTTAATCATGAAGCATACAGTGACCCCACTTTTAACTCTCTCGTTATATTACCCTTATTGTAGATGTATGCATGGAAGACAAGAGTAAGAAGTACAACCAACACCAGTGAAGGCAGTTTTTGTCAGAGCCCTTGTTATTCTTAATTTTGACATTAATTTTAATTTGTACACCAAACATAGATATCGGTTCAAATTATCGGTCTACTTGGTCTGTAATAATCGTCATCGGCCCTGAAAAACACATATCGGTCGACCCCTAATTCAGCGCCTCTCAATTACATCACACACACACACACACACACACACACAAACCAAGGAATCAGAAGGTCAGACATTAGATGATCAGACAATTGGGGTTAATTTGTCCGTGCTGAAGGCTGCTCTGTAAAGCATGTGTATTAACAAGGCCAGTTCCATACATAACCCACTGTGACTTTCTCAGAATAAAATCTATGAAACATGAAAGTTTTTAGCTATGAAAGTATTATCAAAGCTTTATTTGTTGACAAATGTCATATTGCAGCTGACACAAGAGACCTACCATTGGGGAATGTATTGGTAAGATAACAGGGATGTTTCATCATTTAGATTCACTTGTCTCTAGGGACAAAGCATTGTTCAGTCATCCACTGCTTCAGAAAGTCTCATTAGCATTAGCATGTTTTAAATCGAAACAATGCATATCTTTCTTCACTTAAATAATTATGTCTATGAACAGAATTTGATGTTTGACGTCTGTCGAAATCAATGGAAAAGGAAAGATTTTATAGAATGCCCATCTTGCATCAGATATTCCTCTGGACTTGCTGAATTATGCAAGTATTTAAGAATATGGCATTTGAAATGGCATTCGGAATGGTGATGATGCCTATTCACTTTCATTATTCCAGTTCATGTTTAACAGTAAAATCACAGGTTTTAGATTTTGGATCCAAAGAGCTGCTCATGGCAATCAGCAGGGGTCTGAGAGCGAAGGGCAATCAAGAAAGAGGTCAGACACGCATACACCAACATAAGTCCATCTGCTGTTTTATTTGAGGAGGTGCCTCGAGCAGGTATAACTTGCACACACACGTACAAACAAAAAACACACTTCTGCCTTTCCCTCTAGTGATCTTGCACTGCAAATGATGTTTTGAGGCAACAATGGCCCCTCTCACTTGTGAACACTCACTCTCTCACACACACACACACACACACACACACACACAGTGAATGCTTTGCATACAGTTCCAAAACAGTGCTGCCTTGTGAAGGAAACAGAAGGCATCTTTTTGAATTTATTCCAGTTCATGTTTAACAGTAAAATCACAGGTTTTAGATTTTGGATCCAAAGAGCTGCTCATGGCAATCAGCAGGGGTCTGAGAGCGAAGGGCAATCAAGAAAGAGGTCAGACACGCATACACCAACATAAGTCCATCTGCTGTTTTATTTGAGGAGGTGCCTCGAGCAGGTATAACTTGCACACACACGTACAAACAAAAAACACACTTCTGCCTTTCCCTCTAGTGATTTTGCACTGCAAATGATGTTTTGAGGCAACAATGGCCCCTCTCACTTGTGAACACTCACTCTCTCACACACACACACACACACACACACACACAGTGATTGCTTTGCATACAGTTCCAAAACAGTGCTGCCTTGTGAAGGAAACAGAAGGCATGACGTTATCTTTTTGAATCATGACTAAGCAGAACAATTAGCCTATAGTCTCTCTCTCTCACACACACAAACACACACACAAATACTGTCAAGTATGCACACACACGCACAATTTAGCTCGAATGGTTTGGGTGATGTGCACACACAATGATACAAACTATTATGGCACAATAAGATGGATCTGCCTTCTATTGACATTTTTAGGACACAGAAGGAGAGACAAGTGGGAGGGAATAAGATTGTGATACAGAGAAGGATATTGAGAGAGAGAGTGATACATATGATGAGAAGGGCAAAGAAGACAATGGACAAAATGAGAAAGGAAAACCTCAGCGAGGCAAACATCAATTTAAAGGAGTGTATATAAAGACAAGAAGTGTGCGTGTGTGTGCGTGCTTGCGTGTGTGTGTACACAAGCAAGCCTACATTACTTCAAGTTATTTAGAACTGCAACTTTGCCTTTTAGAGTTGCTGATGTTGTCGTGCTCAGGTTAATCTGCTTGCATGCCTTCTTGCAAGTCTTTGATGTTGCAAGGACAAATTTATAAAATCTTTATGTCCCAGCAACACGCACAATTTAGCTCGAATGGTTTGGGTGATGTGCACACACAATGATACAAACTATTATGGCACAATAAGATGGATCTGCCTTCTATTGACATTTTTAGGACACAGAAGGAGAGACAAGTGGGAGGGAATAAGATTGTGATACAGAGAAGGATATTGAGAGAGAGAGTGATACATATGATGAGAAGGGCAAAGAAGACAATGGACAAAATGAGAAAGGAAAACCTCAGCGAGGCAAACATCAATTTAAAGGAGTGTATATAAAGACAAGAAGTGTGCGTGTGTGTGCGTGCTTGCGTGTGTGTGTACACAAGCAAGCCTACATTACTTCAAGTTATTTAGAACTGCAACTTTGCCTTTTAGAGTTGCTGATGTTGTCAAGTGCTCAGGTTAATCTGCTTGCATGCCTTCTTGCAAGTCTTTGATGTTGCAAGGACAAACTTATAAAATCTTTATGTCCCAGCAACACATCAGTGGTGTATTTTCAAAAATCACATTTTTCAAAACCATTATGTGCGCAGTGTTATATGTGAAACACATTGTTAAGCAGAAAAGCTGAAGATACAACATGTTAATGGTGATGTTGCAGTGTGAAACTGAGTCAACAAGAAGAGATTGTGATAATAATCCACATCGAGTCTATTGGAAGGTTATTGTGATCCTGGGAAAAACAAGGAGGCTGATGTGAGAAGGGGGAAATAATCTAATAACTCCTTTTTGCCACAGACTAACCCGTCAGATAATGAGTGCAGTGTGTGAAGAGCTGACAGGAACTACTCTGTGCTAATCATGTTAGAAACATTCAACACATTTAAATGCACTGAATGTCATGTGAATGTCATGCATCTGTTGAGTGTAATGAGGTACATGACTGGCACTGCCTGTATCATAACTGCTATGACAGTTGACATTTCCATGCTCTTCAACAATGAAGTGTTAGGTTAGGTATTTAAAATAAGTGAAAGTGAAGTGACATGTGGCCAAGTATGGTGACCCATACTAGGAATTAGTGCTCTGCGTTTAACCCATCCAAATTGCACACACACAGCAGTGAACACACACCCGGAGCAGTGGGCAGCCATTTATGCTGTGGCGCCCGGGGAGCAGTTGGGGGTTCGGTGCCTTGCTCAAGGTCGTGGCAAGGCACGTATTGCCGTGCCATTAAAGTTGGGAGAGAGTGCTGTACATTCACTACCCCCACCTACAATCCCTGCTGGTACAAGACTCGAACCCGCAACCTTTGGGTTACGAGTCCGATTCTCTAACCATTAGGCCACAATTCCCCCAGTTTCTAAACAACTTTTCCATCCTTTTCATGTAAATACATTGTGTGTGCATATGGTGTTAGAAATCCAAAGAGGAAAAATAGATTTCTGCTGACACTGCTGCTTATTTTGCTCTCTTTAAAATCCATGCTGTCACTCTGAGTTGCCGTGCAGGCAAAAAAGAGCCCTGTTTATCAAAGATGTCCAATTACTCCCTGGGCATTAAAATACTCCCCACGGGGCTGACCATTCAGACCTTATCACACCCCCACCAAAAACCCTCACTCCTCCTAAAGACAAGTACAACAGTTTAATCGTGAAATCTTCAAGTTTGATCAGGACTTGTGGAAATGTATTGAATACTTGTGAAAGTTTATGTAGAAACACTCGTACCAAATGGCTATGGTATCACAACTTGCATAAGTATGTTTTGGCATGTAATGTTATCCCACCCTATATATTACACTACTTTTGGATAATGCTGCTAATTGTCATATCCTGTGAAATTGAAATTAATTTGTTTTGCTGGATTTATTGCATACAGTTAATTTTAAAACATTTAAAATGAATCTGCAGTTCAGATGACCTTTTGCAATGCTGTATTGAATATTTCATACAGTGACATTTAAGTGGCAATACTATTCATGTTTGGGGCTAGACAGATGGATAAAAAGAGATCAGCTGGCTGTTTGAAGTTTGATGTCATTTCAGAATTCTTTTTCAAAAAGGATTTTTATATTATACTATAGTGTCAGGATGTTAATGATTTCTGTAAAAAAAAAAAAAAAAACAGTATAAAGATTTTCTTTGCCAAAGAAATTTTCATGCAGAAATGTGTAACCTCAATACTAAATCTATACATTTTTTTTATATACGAGACAAAATATAATCATTCTTTTTATTTTAATCTTTTAGATCTGTCTGGTCAAACATCCAGCTCTTCAGCCTCAACTCCAACAGACAGTGCCTCCAGTCCTTCTCCCAGCAGCCCTCCAAAACTCTCCCCACTATGTACTCCTTTTGGACCCCGCCTGGTAATGGCCAAACCAACCACTTCTCCTCGCCCACAGCCTGAGGGTGCAAGTTTTGAATTAGAAGGGCATTCTGGAAATATCGGCGTACCAACAGGGCGGTTTGGTAGAGGAGCCTGCAGACGAGGTCCTATGAAAATGGAACGGATCAAAGTCCTAATTGGATCAGAAATAGAAAGTGACTTTCAAGAGCCAGAGACCATGGACTCAAGGGTGGTAATGGGGCAAGAGGCATTGCTGAGAAACATGGAGACACAAAGTGGAGTGCTGCTAAGAAAGCAGATAGGTCAAGAAACACCTAGTTCAGGACACCAGCCCTCAGAGCCTTCCATGAAATGTCATATTGGGCTAGATGAAAACGCAAAACTAGACACTGGTCAGGTGAGTTCTACTGTAGATCAGGCTAAGAGTTTGACTTCAGTTCCAGAACAAGAGAAATGCATAAGTCAGATACTTGAATGTCAAATCCTAGAGTCCAAAGTGAGAGATGCTGAATTGACAGACAGCAGTACTCCTTTCCCAGACAATGAGGGAGAGCCACTGTCTTTATCTCAGGGTGAAGTGCCTTCCTTGTCATTTTCCGAGCCTCCCTATGTTGTTGACCCACAACGTATTGGTGTCCTTCCAGGACTGGATCCTGATCGCTACTATACAGCCCCTTCCACCCCCATTAAGATGGCTTACTGCTCACATCTCAAGCAACAGTGGCGCCCAGGGAGCCCGAGCCAAAGTCCAGGTTCCCCAACTGATGAGTCTGATCTGTGCTCCCCTCCTACCTCTCCCTCTGGTTCCTACATGACTGCTGAGGGAGGCAGCTGGACTTCATACACCTCCAGCACCTCCCACTCATGCTCTCCAAACTTAACAGCTGAGGCAGAGTTGCAAGAAGCTCCTGCTTGCTATGTGGGGTCCCTCTCAGAGATCGGCGACGAGCTTGGAGATGATCGAACTGGTAACGAGAGGGATGCTTGTCTGGGTAAACCTGATTTGCCAGAGTTGCTGGAAGATGTGGCCTGTGAAGTGGATATACTAACAAGGGACACCTGTAGTCCTCATTGGGTGACAGAACATGATTCCACACAAGAGAGCAGGATCATCATGCGAAGAACAGACTGCCAGGAGGACACAGGGGTGTCTGTGGGCTCTCTGAGGCCTAGTGATTTCCAGAGAGCCCCTGATGCAACTCAGGCTTTTAGTGATCCACATCAAAGTCTTGAAATGGATTTCAATGCCTGTTTCTCAGAGCCATCGGTGAGCCTGGATCGCTCCCTAACACCAGACAATAATGCAGCTGCAGCACTGGATACAGAGAGTAAAACCCCTGTCTCTCACTCTCCAGATACTGTAGACATAAAAAGTAATAGCAGTAATAGTTTATATCTCGAGATAGGTTCCTCTGCTCCTCTGTTCCATGGCTATTCTAGAGAGGATGGGCTTGAGAGTGATGCAATGATTCCTGCTTCTATGTTGCCATTCCATGGAAGCCTGATAATCCAGGCAGATTCTATGGATATAACCCTGTTCCCCACTGATGATGAGCAGGGGAATGATGTGGATGCATATGCTGCTGGAGAGGAGGAAGCCGATGTAGATGAGTATGATGATGAGGATGATGAAGATGAGTGTGATGATGAAGATGTGGATAATGACAAGGCAGAGCAACAAGAGGCAGCTTGGAGGGTTGGAAGGGAAGTGGAAGGCCCAAATAAAGATGACACTTCTGCATCTTTCCTAAATTCCTTTTCAGAGAACACCATAAACGATGGTGTAGATGAGTCCTTTGCTTATCAGGATGAAACTGAGGACTCAATTAATTCTACGTCTTATAACGGGGATGAAGATGAACATCTGTACTGCACAGAGAAGCATGCTGAACTCTCCCAACAGTTCCCTGGGCCTGATGAACCTGTGCAGTCAGTAAGCCATGCTAAACCTGAATTTTCTGGCAGTGAGAGTGAAATTGAGATATCCTCCAGATCATCTGAGCTTCCACGTGTAGAACTGCAAGGGAATCTGGCAGACTGCAGTATTCATGGTGAAAGTGTAATCGCACAACAAATTTCAGAAACAAAGTTGCTGAAGGGTGAGCTTTCAAAAGAATCAACTGCAGAGATCAAAACAACTGATGAGGAAGGCAAACAGAGTACAGATCCCTCAACAGTCACGGTAACTTCAGAGAAAGGACAGCAGATTGCCACAAATGATCCAACATTATCTGTTGAACAAAACAAAGTAGAACAAAATAATAGTTCCATTGATTCCTGCGTGGCAGGTGCTACAGCTGCTGACATCGAGACTAATGTAGATGATAGCCAGGAATTGGATCAGAAAAATGGAAATAGTATGGAGTTGGACACATCATTGCAGTTAGCAGAAACTGCAACCAATGACCTAAATAAAGGAGTCCCCCAACTAACATACCTGGATGACTGCAGCCCCACAAACATTCCAGTTTGTGCCTATCCTGAACTATGTGAGGTGCCAGATAACTTAACATCAACAGATGTTTTACCATTTGAACGTTCCATGTATCAAGATAATCTGACAGAGAATCAACCTGGCAATGATGATGTAAACCATAGCTCTCAAAATATGTCCTGCTCCACATACAGCAGACTTGTCATTTCACCAAAGAAAGAGAACTCTGAGAGCAGTATGACAGAAAGGGAACTTTACCCTGACAGTTGGACACCAAGGGATCCCTTGTCTTTAGGTGAATGCTGTGACTTTGAAGCTGAAAATCTGCTCATGTGTGAGATAGCTAGATCAGTGCACAGTAAAGATTTGCCAGTCGCTCATAACATTGCCACTGGAGAAGACAACATGGGTGATGATGAGGACAACAACCGATATTGTGACCTCCAAGAGAAAATGGCAGACATTGATGTTGGTGTGGTTGAGTCAAACATTGCCAGCTGGAGATCGATTCAAGATCTTTCAGAGGCAGGAGGGGGTGAGGATGATGCAAATAATCTTCAAAATCCAGAGAGCAATCCGATTATACATTGCAGTTCTGATAAGGGTCTGGTGCCATCGTGGAATGATCCAGAAAAAACTTGCACACCCTTAATCCTGAGTGCTCCATCAGACCTTACATTGAATATGCTTTCAGATGATGGGAAAGATGGGAAAGATCAAACTCCAAATACAGACTTCAACATTCCAGAGGATTTATCTTCAGGCACATTAAGGAAGGAAAGTGATGAAATAACTTCTGAACAGTCTCAGGATCTGGAATCTTGTCAAGAACCTGATAATGTCACGTTAACAGCAACCATCTCCCTAGAACACACTGATCTTTGTGAATCTTCTACAAAAACAGTCATTTCTAACCAATCAGATAATCTTGGTCCAGTTTTAAATCAGGGTCATTCAAATTCTCAACAGATTACCTTTAGAAACACTGACTCTGTCTCGGAAAACAAGCTCAAATTCAACTTGCAAGGAGGATCATTTGGCACCTTCACATTCAGAAAGAAACCAACTGATATAAAGATTGTGACCTCCTCAGAATTAACAATTCTCCAACAGATTTCTGTCTCACATAAAGAGACAAATTCCTATGATGGGTCTTCAAATGAGGTTGTGGGGGAGAAAGTAATTCAGTTAAGAGCACACATCAAAAATGAAACCGTAACTGATGAAGCTAAAACCACTGACAAACAACTTCTTGAACAAGAGACTACAACTGACGCTCAGGATCAGGAGATAGATAAATCAGACTCCCATGAGAAGGGAAACAAGGGACTGAAAACATGTCAAAAGAGAGAAGAACAAGATTTTACAGAGAATGTTTCATTTCTGGAGCAGAACAAAAATCTTGATGATGATTCACATAAATCAGGTCTTTCTCAAGCTGACAGTGATGAGGCAACACCAGAAACGGCACAGATTGCTAATTCAGGTCATGGCACAAAACCAAAGGTAATTGATGCCCTTAAAACCAACATTGCAGATTTAGCCTCAATGGACAATGAAAAGATCCAGTGCCAAGGAAAGGAAATGGAGAATACAGGTAATCAAGCGCCAAGTTTTGATAGATTTTCAATGAGAGAGGAATTTGGTGAAACTCAGCAGAAAGAGGATGTCTCTATAACGGAGAACACTGAACTTGATCAAACACCAGAACAATCAATTTTTCACCCCCCTGACCCAAGCTATATTGATCCAAAAGAGTCTGTTCATACCAAGTCAGTGGTTGTATCTCAGACAACAGACCTTACAAGGCCAGATGGGCTGAAAGAACTTCCAGACAGTTCTTTGAGCAGAGTAAGTTTGACAGAACGCACAAGAGACATCAATGACAATCACATAGGGGGCAGTTCATCCCTCAGGGTGGACAGCTCAGAACAAGACAGGGTCTCTCCAACATGTTCATCCACAGTTGTCCAGGAGGAAGATCTCTCTAACCCCGTTCAGGAGTCACAGCCCATTCATGACATCTCCCAAACATCTGCTGCCTTCTCACATACAGCTCCAGACAACAAACCCAACCAACCTGACTATCAAAGTCCCCTCCGGACTCCTGGAATAAGCAGTTTGGAATCAGCAGCATGGGAAACAGAGGAACAAACACCAACTTTGGTTCGTATTCAAGACACGTGCGATCATGAAAGTGAGAGAACAGTCATGACAGCAAAACCATGCAGACATGAGAACCCTCCAGGTAAACTTTTGTTTGTTTCCTTAGTTGTTGAGTTTGTTTCATCCTAGGAATCATTAGTATTTAATTGTAGACATGTCATGTGTTTTTTTTCTTGAGTAGTATGCAAGGGACACCGAACAGAACAGTCCCAGTCCACAACATCCACTGGACAAACAGACAGTAACCATGCCCAAAGAACACTGAATCAGTCAGATGAAAGAGATATGCTCCCCTGCTTCAGTCCAAGACCAGACTCCCTCATAAAAACAAAGCAAGCTGAGCGACAGAGCATAGAGCGAGACGTGTACCCAATTAGCTACAGATCAAAAGGCCCAGAGGACTTGGATCTCCGCTTCAAAAACAATAGTATGTTCATCATCTGTTTTAGCCATAAGGCATCAGCATCTTTCTCAAGTACCTTCTTTATAGTCTCTAGCAAAGCAATTTTAGTGTTTATTTGTTTTTCTTTCCTTTAGTAGGTTCAGGTAATGAAACAGACAGTGATGGCTTCCTCCATTTAAAGGATAGTTGACCTAAAAAATAAACATTCTGTCATCATTTACTCAGCTTCATCTCGTTCCAAACCTTTGTGTCTTTCTTTTTTCTGTGATGAAATAATGTCAGTAAATAATGACACCATTTTTGGATGGCCTTTTCCTTTTAGAAATATGTTTGAATGAATAAAGCAGCTAAATTAAGATGAACCATATTCTCTTTGTCTGTTTGTAAGCTGGATGAGGGTGGGCTGGAGCAGAGAGATATCGAGTTGGTGATGGCACAGGCCAACGTGTCTCGAGCTAAAGCAGTCCGTGCACTGCGCCACAACAAGAATGACATCGTCAATGCCATTATGGTGAGTGATTGCTTTTATATTAGCCATTCAGCATTTGTACATTGTGTAATGACTAATTTTACACTATATTCCCTCTAATTCAAAATCCTATAAAAACGGGACTATAATAAAGTCGCTCTTACATGTACTGTATTTTGTTTGTTTTGGACCTCACATAGACATTTTATTGTTCCTAAATCAAGTAAAAAAACAAACCCAAACCCTATTTTTTGGCATTTTTAACTGTGAAAACAATTTAGTCCCTTTATTAAGCTTTATTTTTATAAGTGATTGCTGTTAAAACAAGTTTTGTTTTGTTTTTGAGGTGTTACTATGATTGGGAGGGCATTTTCAATCATTTAGTTCCTGTAAACACAGCGATGGCTCACAAATATAAGCAAACCCTTTGATTGCTATTTATATTTCATCTTTTGTGTCTATTCTCAGGAGCTGACCATGTAAAAGAGGAAAAGACTTCTTCCCCGCCCCTTGCGTGTTTTCTTCCCTAAGTAATGCTGCTATATTGCGCCGCCCAAACTCCTGCTGAAATAAATCCGTTACAACCAGAGCTGTTCGTTTCCCAACATTATCTACGAATCATATAAATGCACATTACAAACAAAAATGTATCGTTATACATTTTGAACAAATTTTAATATTGCCTTAATGGCTCAGATGGTAGATCAGAGGATTGTAGAAATAAATGCTTATGTCCTCAAAGCTGATGGCTTAAATCTGACCTAAAGTTTTTTTTTGTTTTTTTTTTTACTTTCCCCTGGGGTATATGTATCTTATCTTGCAAGCATAAATAGTTCACATGGCACTAAAATTCCATTTAAATTTATTATAGAAGCCTGTTTTTAGCATGTTTTAATTGTTTACGCAAATTACATGGACTGTGCACAATTGTGCAACTACAAATCAAAGATAATATTTGTACTCCATTTTCAATGCAATCATGACATCAGATAGACTATTTGAACACTGTCAATTTTAATCCAGATCAATATACATACATACAAAGATGACCAAAGTAATAATGGTGAATGATCAGTCTATGATATAAAGGATGTACATTACCAAAACTTATTTCTGCAACATCTCATGCATTTAAATGTCCTGTGCGGTCACACATGTCTTTTCACATTCAGCATGAATACTGCATCCAAAAGAAATATTCACATTAGATTTTAGTGGAGGTATGTGATTATATCCGTGTTTGCTTTATTCATAAAAAAATCATTTCTAATACTGTTTTGTTGACATCACCCATGCACAAACAGGCACACAATGACCTTACCACAATGAAAGTTTAGTTTTATGGAAAGCATAACTAGCATTAGCTTCAACATTTAGTTTACTGTAAGCCTCTTTATATTCACGTTAATAAAAGCCTAAAAATGTCAAGACAGAAGCTCTTTATTCAAGTAAGGTTTGTGTATTAAGGCCAACAATTACTGTGTTTGGTCCTCCAGGTAAAAGTCTCTCTGATTTCAGCTGTTCCCCATCCTGTTTCAGTTCCCCTCCCTACCTTCGTTCTCATTGTGTCCAGCTACATTTGGATCAGCTTTTAGGGGACAGGACATTGGCCTGAAAGTGGCCCTGATTGGTAATGTTGCCCGCAGGGAAATAACGTGCCACTACAAAGGTAGAACCATCTGAGGCCACAGCTTTACCAACACCAAATTTCGTCGAGCTTTTCCACACCATTGCAGTGAAGTGACCTAGAACAAAACAATGATTCTTTCATTAATTGGTGTGCATTGCAGCGATGTGTGGTTGTCACAAAGTGTTTATGCTTGTTTGACTCACATAAACCATGTGGCGCTTGTGTTAGTGCTCAGTTAAATATAAGCTGAGAGACAGAGTGGAAACATTTGAGTGGAATAAGAGACTCAAGTACATTTTATGCATTTGGCAAATGCTTATCCAAAGCTAATTACTGGTGATTTCATCACTTTGTGTTAACCCCCCGGGAATCAAACCCACAGTTTTGATGTTGACAACACCATATGCTGCCAACTGAGTTACAGGAACACCCTTTCCTAAATTCCCAACCGCATATTTAAAGGATTAGAGTCAGTATAGACAATATCCACAATCTATACCAGGGATCCTCAAATCTGGCCCACGAGATCCACTTTCCTGCAGAGTTTAGCTCTAACCCTAATCAAACACACCTGAGCATGCTAATCAATGTCTTCAGGATCATTAGAAAATCACAGGTAAGTAAGTTTGATCAGGGTTGGAGCTAAACTCTGCAGTGCATTGGCCCTCCAGGGTAAGATTTGAGGAACCCTGATCTATACAGTCAGTCACTTTTTAAACAATAAAAAATTTCGGATCAGCTGCTGTAGAATTGTGACTCTATCAAAAGCGTTCTGCCCTCTTGCGGGGGTGGCTAGTATTACTCATTTCCTGCAGGCTGAAGCTGATGACCGGTGAGGTGAATAAAAACTAAAGGGGGTGAGTTAACACCTGTAAGCGAGAAATCACACTGTAAGAGATTTCTCATAACTGAATTTTATGGGGAATTTCCTGTGCCTGGGAGGGCTTTGGAAAGCTTCATTTCAATAGGATGAGTCACATCTTACCCATTTTAAAAAATACTGAAGAATATTGTATTACACTGTCTGGGCCAAACTTATCTGCTGTATGCGTTTGTATTATATTTGGTTATAAAACCGGGGTTATGAATATAAAAACGGTGCTCTGTCCTGTTAATGGAAATCAACATAGATTACCTGCAAATTTTAGTTCAATGCAAAATTATTTCGGATGACACAACAGGACAGGATGTCACTCACTAGTGCTTCTGTTTTAAGTAAATAAATTAGAAATAATATATCAGTAAATGTTAAACTAATGCAAAAGTTGTGACCAACTTATTAGTAATGTGATACTGAGGAAAAAAATAGTGGGTGAGGCTTGACTTTAGTGCACATCCTCACTATCTCTAGCCCACAGAATACTGATGTGGAGGGTACTGTTTAAGGACGTTCTGCTCAAGTGGTCAAGCTGATATTCATCATATAAGGACCTTTTCCAATTTTAAAGATTACAAAGACAAACACATTTTTCTGAGGATTAACATGCATGCATTAATTGACTAGTATGTGTGCTAATAGGATAAATGTTGATTTCATGCTGACTTTAAAATATGCCATCCACTCTACTTTCCTGAAGCACTGCAAACCATTTAGATTTCAATTTTGTTTTTCTGAGTACTTAGCCAAGAGTTTAATAAATGATGTTTACATTCTTTCTCTGCTAAAAAGAACATCCTAAACCAGGTGAATCTGGTATTCAGGTTTTAGTTGCTCTGGTTTCTGGTCATTTGACTGATTTTAGGGATGTTTTGGGCAGTTTAGTCAGTCAGGCTGTTATGGAATGTGAGTAAATGAAGTACAAAGTCTAGCATTACCGCACATAAAGACCTTAAGGTGCTGGTTCAGGTGTATTTGATAAGAACTGGAAGTAAACATTGCAGGTACGGTGGTGCGTTGAACACTCTGTTCTGATGACGCAAGAGTTGCAACTATGGCTGTTGAGAAGGCCATTCTTTGTGTTCAACTTGACGTGTTCATTGTTTACTCATAACCGGAGTCAATAATCATGCAGATTTATGTTACAAACTTATAGAATTGTACAGTAAGAAAGTTATTTCCTTTAACCAGGAAATTAACGTTCTTAGAATTGACAAGACGGTTGACCCTGAGTGGTCAGCTAAATATCTACAGTGGATCTAAAATATGAATAGTTAATTATAACTAGTTATGGTTAATTATTCATATTTCCCCATGAGCTAAATTCGCTACAGAGCTGTCTCTTTAATACCGCGTGGTTTACATACACGTTGCTGCTGAATGGGCTGACATGTTTGACACACTCACCAAACAAGAGAAAACACATCTCAAACCCCATTGCACACCGTTTCCAGGAAACATGTCGTTCAAACCGGAAACCATGGCAAAATGGTGCACACCGGTTTGAGCTTGAACTTGCCCCAGATGAACACTAGGAAGCCAACTACTGTGGTATAGTCATATTTATTGGTTTAGCAATAGACCAACTTGATATTAAGTAACATCACTGATCAATGTTAATTCAGATCAGATTCAAACAGCTAAAAGACATTTTAGTGCAATTAGACATTAGATTTAAGTACATTAGGCTAAAATATGACATTTAAAAAAAAAAAAGATACTTAAAAGAAAAACAATTACAGTTCAAAATCAAAGTAATAATAATGACAGAAAATATCAGCAAGGTTTTAGTAAAAATGTGACAAAGCGATTTAACCAGCTAGCCACATAGACCTCTGGTGGACAAAATTAGAAGTAAAAATTGTTTTAAAATAGTTTGTACAAAATAACTCAATACATGGTAGAGGCTGTAAATACAATGTGAACATATATGTAAAACTTAAAAGTTATTTTATATTATAAAAAGCCTATATCATTGTCTGGGCATCTACATTAATGCTAAAATGTGATCCATTCTTCACTTAAAGGGATAGTTCACCCAAAAATGAAAATTCTGTCATTAGTTACTCACCCTCATGTCGTTCCAAACCCATAAGATCTCCATTCATCTTCTGAACACAAATTAAGATATTTTTTATGAAATCTGAGAGCTTTCTGACCCTCCGTAGACAGCAACGCAACTGAAATGTTCCCAGACCCAGAAACGTAGCAAGGACATCGGTAAATCAGTCCATGTGACATCAGTGGTTCAACCGTAATTTTACGAAGCTACGATAATACTTTTTTAGTTTAAAAACAAAAATAACGACTTTATTCAACAATTCTTCTCCTCCAAGTCACGGGTTCTCCCATTATAAAATTACGGTTGAACCACTGATGTCACATGGACTGTTTTACCGATGTGCTTACTACGTTTCTGGGTCTGGGAACATTTCAGTTGCGTTGCTGTCTACGGAGGGTCAGAAAGCTCTCAGATTTCATAAAAAATATCTTAATTTGTGTTCCGAAGATGAACGATGGTCTTAGGGGTTTGGAACGACACGAGGGTGAGTGATTAATGACAGAATTGTTTTTTGTTTTGTTTTTTTCAGAATTTTTGGGTGAACTACAGGGCTGCACGATTAATCGAATGCGATTGTCATGCACATCTTGTCAGTAAAGCCAGTTCTGTGATTAGTAGTAAATCTCCATCACCTGCTTTCAGATGGAGCAGCATTTACTACACAGAGCCGTAGTTCTCTGACAAGCTATGCAAAAAATTGCAGACAAAATAATTGTACGATTATGAAATCAAAGAAATTGTTTGCGATAATGACAGCTGTTTGCGTAGCTTCTCAGTGAACTACGGCTCTGTGAACTAAATGCTGCTCCATCTGAAAGCACGTGAAAACACCACATTTAATAACATATTTTTACTCCAAACTCACTTCATAACGTTAACCGAGTGTTTGAAATAAATCCTTCTGTGAGATGATGTGGCTTCTTACAAAGAAATAGGCACGCAACGTATTTCATAGTATTTAAGCAGTGATAAAGGCTATGTTGATTAGCATTGCATTATAGATATACTTTATTGTAATGAAAATTATAATAAGAAGAACTCAGATAAACCATATATTGCTGTAGTCGTGTGTCCTCTGGCCTTCGGATGGAGATTTACTGCTGATCACAGAACCGTGCTTCACTGAAAGATACGCATGGCAATCACAGCTTCTGTCTAATAGCGATTTCACAATTTCATTTCGATTTATCGTGCAGCCCTAGTGAACTATCCTTTTCATTACGATGATCAGTGCAAAGGCACATTAATAATTAATCAAACAAGCCAAAAACAACAGGCTGCAACTAGATAGTTAGGATAATTGTTGCATAGGTTTGCATCATCACCCTAAGAATGTGTTTTGATGTTGTAGCCAAGTTTACACTATATATGAAATATAAAAATCTATATATATCTTAACAGTTTAAACACTGATTGAAAAATATGGCACTGAAAAAATGTGTTGCTTTGTAAGTAATGCTTTGTATTTTTATTAGCTGTGCATTTAAGCTGTTTAATGAAGGCAAGTGGTGTAAATGATCTAACTAGCATGCATAGCATCATTATTCTTTGCAATTCCTTGTGAATGTAATATCTACATGGTCTGTGGTTTTAGCCTAGCCCATTTCGGCCTTAAGATCAGCTAGTATACACTCAGCCTCGTTTAAACTCAATGGCGTCTCCGGAGGTCTCAGAAGACACGGCTGAGACATTTCACATGCATTCACCCTTTTAAACAGTCTGTTCCGGTCCACACGTAACACCCACCCCGGCTCCATGTGGAAAGCTACACACACATGATCCCACAAATAGTATTCTTCTCTGTGGGGGCTCACATGAACACTACAATTCAACTTGTTCACCTTAAGCTTCAGCTTGTAGGTTTCAGAGGGGGCTTGACAGCACCACCACAAAGCCCCATCATAGTACCCACACACACCGTCCTCCCGATTGGGCAGTCGAGGATAACTGTCATAAAGATTTATGTCACGAGGATGCACTACAATCTTATAGAGAATCTCTCGCCGGTAGAGCCCAGTCTCATACACACGCAGAACTGGACTTTGGTCACCACAGAACTGCTCACCATAGAGCCAAAGTAGCTCCTTAAGTGAAAAGATGAAGCGGAAGTTTCCATAGGAAGATTTTTCCTGGAAGGCCTTTGAGCTGGTGAAGTGCTCAAGGACGGGTGG